AAAATTTTTCTTTTAAATATGTCCCATGTGCCACTTTAAGCTTTGACCACCTCGTACTCTACTTGGTTGGCTTTTATAAGTCCAAATGTAAAGGGTATTTACTGGGTTATTATGGTGACACTGATAGGAACAGGCTGTAGGACCAAGCCATTCAAAGCATGGGAATGAGATGACTGCTATATATTTAGATTTGTTATTGAAAAATTTAAATATTTATTTTCCATCAAAACTACATCATTAAAGCATATCCTGTGTTTTGGAAGGCTTTTGGAAGGACTATATATGCAGAAACATTTTTTATGTATATTAGCAGATTAATTCTGGCTATAGTTATTTTCAGCTAAGATTAGCCCTTATAGATTGGCAAGTTCTCCATTTGAAGAGTGATTTTTCTTTAACAAGTTAGCTTTTCCTTTTTAAGGTTTTACTTTTCTGACTATCAGCCCATAACCTCAAGTCCCTTAAATTAGTACCATCATAATGTCTCTGTTGCTATCAATTATAGTACTTGAAAATGAACCACATCTGAGGAAAGGTTTGTATTTAGTTCAAACAACTTTTTTCAACTGTATTGAAAATAAGTCTCTGTGCTGCGGTGTCATATGAGCTCTGAAGCTTTAAAAACGCTTCCCTCTGACATATTTTTAGATATTATTTTTACTAGTTTTTGCTACAGATTATTTGGAGAAAAGAAGTAAATTGATGTTAAAAACCTTGAAAAAAGCTCCCCTAATATTTTTTTCACCCTCACAGTTTTAAAGTGTATACGTAAATAAATTATAAATGAAGGTCATTGAAAATACTAAATCAATACTTAGTTTGTAAAAGTATGGTTACAATAAAATAAAACACCATCATAGTCCTCCATGAAAAATGATCTAAGGTCTGTTCTTTTTTCATGTTGTAGGAGATTTTTTGAGCTTTTTTTAAAGTACAATTTTGATTCACAGTCAAACAGCCTTTTGCTTATGGATGAAAGATCCATTTTGTACTACTTTGAAGGAGTTTCTTTATGTGCAGTCGGGTCAGTGGTAGCGGTGTGGTGAGTTAGCGTAGCTTCCTCATCCCAGGTGACGCAGGGGGTTTGGTGATAAATTCATCTGCAGTTCCAGTCTCCCTTAAGGAGCTAACTCGTTTCCTTAGCCAAAATACACTGAGCCCTCTCTAACTTGCAAACATTCTTAACATATTCTTCCTGTATTCTCAGGATATAAACAGAGTATTGGCCTTGTAACAGAGCATTAACCTTTCCATTTTCAGCTAAGTGTTCTGGTCCTACCAAGCGTGCACGTTTGTCCCTGAACGACTTTGCTACCTTCCCTTTATTTAACGTTTTCATCACAGGCAAGACACATTTACATCACAGTTCATTTCATTGAATAATAATCCCACCTATGTGGCTGACAGTGAGTGTGTGGCTTAATGTGGTATTCCCCAGCCACATGTAGCTGTTACATTTTAGTTAACTAAATTGAAGTAAAGAAAAATTAAAGAAAATATTTAAATTAACATTAAGACAGTTCTTTATTTGTCCTACCCTGTATCAAATGTTTAGTAGACACATGTGGCTCCTGGCTCTCAGACTGCATAGAAAAGACTATAGAGATTTTTATCATCTTAGAAAGTTCTACTGAACAACACACCTACAGTTCTCACTTGATCCTCACAATGATCCTATAAAATGTCAAAGCGCATGGTATACGATATCACTTATATCCACAGAGATGAGGAAACAAGTTCTAGGAGGTATAAAAAAAAATATGTCCTTTCGTAGAATTTGATCTAGAGAATGTTTTCTGGGAGTAGACAGTTGTAAGTAAAGGTAAATACAAGTGAATAAAGGAGTTCTCTACAGATTTTGATCATAAAATATGAGTTACTGCAAAGGTGAAGACGTGGTCTAGCTTGTTCACTTTGTGTCCCAGGTGATCGTTACAGAGACTAACACAGCAGGTACATGAGTGAATACATGTAATTTTTTGTCCAAGCAGAATTTACAATTTAATATAATTTTAAAACCGTGGATATCTATTCCTGGTAGTAATTTTTACTGTTCTTGCTATGTATTTGTTTTTAACCTAGAAATGAAGAGATTAAAAATAACATGTACATGTCACGAAAATGCAATAAATATGATCAGTAGGCCTGGTTGGCTATTGTTTTTTAAAATTGTAAGTGGTGTTTTATTTTAGGATAGCATTTAAATTATGTACATCGGTCATTTTCTATTCTGATGTGTGCACATCTATTACTATAGAAAGTATCAAAATTATCACAAACAAGCTTCTCAATCTTTTTGTAATAGAAAATGAATAAAATTTGAAGTAATTATTCTTTTCCAAGTTGGAAGTTATGTGACCCTAATATTATAATAGCTTTTAAAATGGTATATAATAACAACATGATTTACAAGGCAAGTGGGTAACCCACGCTAGTGTCAGTACTGCTGTTCTTATCATTAAATGAGATTCATGAGTTTTGTTTGCTGCTTGGTGTACTTGAAAGAGCTGTCGGTAGAATGAAAGTTTTTGTCGACATCATTCAAGTTCGTATCTATTAAAGCAGATCTTTTCTGGGTAAAGAGTCACAACTTTTAGACATATAGTACTCACCACAAATTTAAAAGATCTAACATAATTTCCATAGCTACATTCATCCTACAGCAAGATGTTTCACTGATGTTTTTCACAAAGTTGTTTGTCTTTCATGATCTCTTCAGTTGCTAATCATTGTTAGCCTGGATTGTCTCACTTAAGATTGTTAAGTAAAAACATCCCCGTTGTGATAGAATTTAATAGTTTAAATTCACTTCTAAATCCTGCGTGGCACTTTCTTGAGAGTATGCATGTTCCCTGTTGAGCTCTTTCAGTGTGGTCATGGCACATGAGGCCTAAAGATTGCAAAATCCAGAAATAATGATGATGTGTGGAAGTTTTCAGGAATCTCCCCTGTAGAAGCAGAAGTTCAAAGCGTTTTCTATTAGGACAGCTCGACCTCTCTGAAGCAGTAGAGTTGCTACCATAAAACATTTCTGTCTCTAGATGTTACACACTTTCTGTTTTTACCTAGGTTAAAGGAGGGCAAGATATTTCTGAATTTATTCCTTTGATCCAAGTTTAAGTTTCTGAACAAAGTACCTGATGATGGCATTTAAAAGTTTTGTTTTTTGAAAATAAGTTTTTTTTCCTCACCTTCAGCAAATTGGGAAATACGTGTAAAAATTTTGCAATGTGATGCATTACATTTCAGTGCAAGTTTTATTTGCTTTCGTGACTGAAATGCTAGATTAGAATGTTTTGAATTGTTTCCCACAGGGCCTGGCTCTTGACATCGCTCACACAAATGACTGCCTGTCAGGTGGCTGGAGGGGGAAGAGGGGTGAGGGGTGCCCCAGTCTTAGCTCTCTGGTTCAGTGATGCTATGTTACTGAGTGAGGAAATCTCCCTGCTTACCATGGAGGATATAGGCATTGTCTGAAGTGCAGCGTTACCATCCTTTGTTTAGAGGTTGTGGGAGTCCGTCAGAGAGTATTATATTAATGTGCGGTGTGTTGTGTGTGTGTTAATGTACAATTCGTAGAACTCTAATACTAGATGTGAATTTAGAAGGTGCTTCAGTGGAGGAAGCTGTTGGCCAGCATTTAAGTAACTTGATCACAGCCCCAGTTCTCTGCATGGAGACTTCAGTCTTCGTCCCATAGAACTACTAACATAGCCCTCGGTGCGCTGCAGAATACTATTTGCATTTCAAGTAGAGCCCTTCAATGATTTTGAGATGCCTGTGACTTTTCTCACCGAGTGTTGCATATGAGCAACGATCACACATGTCATTTCTGAGCAGCTGTTGAAGAAGCAGAACATGATTATGCCACTTGGTTTTTGTGTTACATCTGGTTGCTGGAGCATTTCAGACATTCACTGATATTTGGGACAGGGAAATGACCCTCATTTGGGGACAGTCAAAAACTGTATTTTAAACTATGAATTTTGGCCTCTCAGGGGTGACGCTTAACTGGGCTCCTGCTGCGGTGCACAGTGAGAAAGGAGGGGAGGTTTTCATATGAAGTGCCGTCCGCGGGCCTTGATAACCCCACGCTGTGTAATTTCATGTTGCGGAAGTGCGCAGCGCCGCAGTGGTGTTCACTGGGGAACGATCCTGTCTTTACATTTGATCATCTCCACAACCCACTCTGGGGAGGAGCTGGGAGCATTTTGCTGTGAAAAAGAGCTTTCGTCAAGGAAGGCCCAGGAGGGTTTGCTTATTTTCCTTTGTCTTCAGCGGAGAAACTTCTTCCCGTCAGTCCTCCTCCCTCGGGATCCTGCCCACTCCATTGATGGCATTTTTTGGTTTCATTGTGCGTGATTAGGGTTCCGTGATAAGCCATTTTGTGTGGTCATTTTCGCGCCTTTATTTTACAATAAAGGTAGATGACAATTTGTCCTGTGCTCGGTAGGAGCATACTAGATGTCATTGTAGCTCGGTAGGAGCTCGGTAGAGGATTTCTTTGGATGACTGTGCGTCGAGTAATCTCTGAGCTACTGCTTCCAGTTTTGACAGCAACTTTTAGCTTTGCAAAAAAACAAAAAACAAAACAAAACAAAACAAAACTCTCCATGAATTGAATGCTCCTGTGGGAATGTGGTTGGAAGGAAGGAAGCGGTAGTAAAACATACTGAGTTGGGAATTGTTTTCTGTTCTTTATATATATATATATATCATCAAACTTCATGAATTGGTTATAGTACTTTTGTTACGTACCTTCATCTTTTACTTTGACCTAAAATGTTTAGCATAATGAACCACTCAGTGTAGCTCTTGAGAAATGAAGAGTGATTTCTTTTGGTGCTGATAACTCAAGTGATTTCCCCAAAAGCCAGAGTATTATGGTATTACTCTGTTTTTCAGTGTAGAGTACTTGGCAGTCCCCTCCCCACCCCCTGCAGTGAACCCCGTGAGTTAACGACATATTTAAAGTAACACCCATTTCTTCCACACTGCAGGTCACTTCAGGTGGAACATTCATTGGCATCGGACGGAAGACACCGGATTGCCAAGGAAACACCAAGTATTTCCGCTGTAAATTCTGCAACTTCACTTACATGGGCAACTCATCCACTGAGCTTGAACAACATTTTCTTCAGACTCACCCGAACAAAATAAAAGCTTCCCTTCCCTCCTCCGAGGGTGCAAAACCTTCAGAGAAGAACTCTAACAAATCCATGCCTGCGCTTCGAGCTGGCGATTCTGGAGACTTGGGGAAGTGGCAGGACAAGATCACGGTCAAGGCAGGAGATGACACTCCCATTGGCTACTCAGTGCCCATCAAGCCCCTCGACTCCTCAAGACAAAATGGTACCGAGGCCACCAGTTACTACTGGTGTAAATTTTGTAGTTTCAGCTGTGAGTCATCGAGCTCCCTCAAACTGCTAGAACATTACGGCAAGCAGCACGGAGCCATGCAGTCAGGTGGCCTTAATCCAGAGTTGAACGATAAGCTTCCCAGGGGCTCTGTCATTAACCAGAGTGATCTAGCCAAAAATACAGAGGGAGAGCCAATGACCAAGGCAGACAAGAGCCTGGGTGGGGCTAAAAAGAAGGACTTCTCCGCCAAGGGAGCAGAGGATAACATGGTCACAAGCTATAACTGTCAGTTCTGCGACTTTCGCTATTCCAAAAGCCATGGCCCTGATGTCATTGTGGTGGGGCCACTCCTCCGTCATTATCAGCAGCTCCATAACATCCACAAGTGTACCATTAAGCACTGTCCATTCTGTCCCAGAGGCCTTTGCAGCCCAGAAAAGCACCTTGGAGAAATTACGTATCCGTTTGCTTGTCGAAAAAGTAATTGTTCCCACTGTGCACTCTTGCTGTTGCACTTGTCCCCCGGGGCGGCCGGAAGCTCGAGAGTCAAACACCAGTGCCACCAGTGTTCATTTTCTACCCCTGATGTAGATGTGCTCCTCTTTCACTATGAGACTGTGCATGAGTCCCAAGCATCGGAGGTCAAACAGGAAGCCAATCATCTGCAAGGATCGGACGGGCAGCAGGCAGTCAAGGAAAGCAAAGAACACTCGTGTACCAAATGTGATTTTATCACCCAAGTGGAAGAAGAGATTTCCAGACACTACAGGTGAGTCGTGGGAAGAGGGACCAAGCAAAGGATGGGAAGGCCCCAAAATTGGAGGGAGGGGGTTGATAGCACGAGGAAGTTACCGGCCCAGATCACATCACAGATTATAGAACTGCAGGTGACGTTAATAGATGTGAACACCTCAGATTTTAATCTGGCCACTTGTGCTGACATCTTATAGATCTGATATCTACCGTTTGCCGAGTGCGTTTTAGAATTCTCGGTGATGCTGATAATGCTGCAGTTTGCCAGTTTACCGTAGCCCACTTATTTGTCCTTGCTAAATATGACTTTGGATTCTGTCATTTTTGATGAAGTAGTTCCCAAACCGGAGGTGCCTAGTATGTTTTATTCTTTGTTCTAACTGAGAAATTATCAGTTGAAAACCTGCTGGTCATTTCTCTTAACGTGAGATTCTTCTGTTTGAAAAATTATGCATCCTTGGTTGACCAGCAAACAGTAATCTGAAGGTAAGCACTACACCACAAGTGTGCTATTGGATGTGTACTCACCCCTCTAGGCAAGTACAATTTAAATTATGTCAGTTTGTAGAGGTGAGGTACATTTGCGTTTTTCTTTTTCTTTGACGCTATTTTCTCTATAAACAGTTTCCTCAGTGACCCTTTCTTACTTTCTAGAGATGACTTTGGGCTACATGTGCTTATTTTATGTATGTATTTATTCCTTAATTGAGTTAAAAATTACACATTGTGGTAGGCATTAACTGTCCAGGAGTAAACAGCGCAGGGATCATCCTTTCCTATCTGGAACTGAGCTCAGTAGGGAAGGGAGGGTACTGCACAGATCAGCAGATATAAGGACAGTGTAGTTTAATATGGTGGATCAGGCAGTGCCTCCAGGGTTAAGGAACAGGCAAACTGGGCCTGGGATAAAAGTAGGAATTATTTTAGCAAAGCCCTGGGGATACAGGGAATTCAGATATGAGTGCTTATTGGGTGCTTTCTTGTTATTATGTCTCTAGGCACCAAAGGAAAAGGCTTTTACTATTTTTAAGTGATTTTCCAGATGAAGATTCAATATCCAAGTCAACACCTAGTAGTTCTTTCCATTTTTACTCCTTAAGATTTTAAACAGCGCCTTCCATTCCCTTGTGAGCATGTCTGTCTTTCCGGTCACAGTAATGAAGCAGTCCGTGTCCGACCATAGGCTGATAATGTTAAATGTTACTTTGAAGGGCATCCTAATGTTCACAGTGAATCGAAATGTTCAGAAAACACTTACTTGAGATTTACACTGTTTAATTTATAGAGTCAGCCCTAGGAAAGACACAGTCGTGCAATCAAACATGTGTTCACACTTGCAGTGAGTGTTTCTGGCTTCTCTGATGCTAGATGCATGTTAATTTATTTCTGGGGCTCGCAGGACTGAGCTGTCTGAGCTTACCCAGCGAGGATGTGTGAGCTTAGGTGAGTATGTGCATATTTTGCTTGTCCATTTGCTCAGTGATACCAAAATCACATAATCCACTCTTTCTTGTTTTTAAAGGAGGCAGCCTTGTTGCAGAAATCTTCATGATTTTCTATAACCATGTGGAAACCGGCCCTACTAGATTTGTATAAGGTAGTTATAGGTAGCTCTGAATGTTGCTCTAAATCCTGTGTGAGAAAAGAGTTTCTGTACTTTTTACATAAAATAATCTCACAGAAAATAAAAGTATTACTTAATAATGTCCCACTCTAGTTAGTATTCAGTAATGAAGTTAGCTCTAGAGGGAAGAAGTTATTCTTACACGCTGCTCTATCTGCATGGTTTCTCTCAGTGTCAAGATATCTAATAGCTGCTCAATGAATGTCTTTATGTAAATGAAATCCGCATGAGCAGTGGACTTCACATTAGTTATGAATAAGCTGGGATCTTTAAGGTGAGTTTTATTTTAATCCTTTAATATATTACAGTGTTAGGCCCTTTCGAGGAGCTGGGGTTCTACACCAAAGGACAATTGATTATTCCTTGAGAAACAGCAGTTAGACTTTCAGCATTTTATTAACTAAGACATTAACACTTGTCCTTGCAGTACTAGAGTACTATTACACTTACTTTTAAATCCTGATGTAGATTTGCCGATCTGAGCACATTTGAGGTGCTGAGTTGCTTATTTCTGGTCTGCAAATTCTTTTTTTTTTTTTTTTTTTTTTT